AAAGACATTCCCAGTATCCCGTGGGCCCATTCCCAGTATCCCACAGGGCCATTCCCAGTATCCCACAGGGCCATTCCCAGTATCCCACAGGGCCATTCCCAGTATCCCATGAGGCCATTCCCACTATCCCATGGAACCATTCCCATTATCCCACACAGAGCCATTCCCAGTATCCCACAGGGCCATTCCCAGTATCCCGTGGCCCCCTCCCCACGGAGACATTCCCAGTATCCTGTGGGATCCACATGGGACCATTCCCATTGTCCCACACGGAACCATTCCCAGTATCCTGTGGGATCTACATGGAGCCATTCCCAGTATCCCATGGGATCCACATGGAGCATTTTCCCATCATCCCACGTCTCCATTCCCATCATCCCACGGCTCCATTCCCAGTATATTCCCAGTATCCTGTGGGTTCCACATGGAGCCATTCCCATTATCCCATGGAGCCATTCCCATCATCCCACAGGACCATTCCCATCATCCCACGGGACCATTCCCAGTATATTCCCAGTATCCCCTGGGATCCACATGGAGCCATTCCCATTATCCCACACGGAGCCATTCCCATCATCTCATGGAACCATTCCCAGTATCCCACGTCTCCGTTCCCATCATCCCATGGGACCATTCCCAGTATATTCCCAGTATCCCATGGGATCCACATGGAGCATTTTCCCATTATCCCATGGAACCATTCCCATCGTCCCACGGGATCATTCCCATATATTCCCAGTATCCCATGGGATCCACACAGAGCCATTCCCAGTATCCCACATGGAGCCATTCCCATCATCCCATGGAGCCATTCCCACTATCCCACGGCTCCATTCCCATTATCCCACAGGACCATTCCCATATATTCCCAGTATCCCGTGGGATCCACATGGAACCATTCCCATTATCCCACATGGAACCATTCCCATTATCCCACACGGAACCATTCCCATCATCCCATGGAGCCATTCCCATCATCCCCCACGGCTCCATTCCCATCATCCCACAGGACCATTCCCAGTATATTCCCAGTATCCCGTGGGATCCACACGGAGCCATTCCCATCATCCCATGGGACCATTCCCAGTATCCCACGTCTCCATTCCCATCATCCCATGGAATCATTCCCATCATCCCACGTCTCCATTCCCATCATCCCACGGCTCCATTCCCATCATCCCATGGAATCATTCCCATCATCCCACGGCTCCATTCCCATCATCCCATGG